CTCAGCACACACATGGCAGCTCACAACTGTCTGTAACTTCAGTTCCAAGGAATTTAATACCTGCTTTTAGCCTTCTGGGGCACCAAGCACACGTAGGTGCACAGGCACACAATCAGGCACACCACCCATATGCAAAAAAAATAAATGAAATGAAAAAAGGAAGAAAAATACCAGCTCAGTACAGTCACTTCTGATTCATTTTACCGATAAGGAAGTATTTTCCAGTGCTGCATTTTTTTTCACTCCCTCTCATTTTTTTCTGTTTTGTTTGCATTTGCAAATAGACTAGGTGCGATAGCTGGCGTTGGCCTGTGATCTCGGAATTTGTGAGTCTAAGAAAAACAGACTGAAAGCATGAGGGACAGCCTGGACTACAAAGCAAGGGCCTGCCTCAGAAAACCAAACCCTACCCTCCCTCCACAAATAAAGCCATCCAAAGATGCATTGTCATCCACCTGTACAGGAACTGATCTCCTACACCTTCCAACAAGGATGAATACTGAATATCAACAAGAAGCCATTCTGTCCTGAACTAGGCAGCAGGCGGTCAGGACTGCCAAGAGCTATGGAAGCAGTCTGCAGTTCTGTGGTAACAGGAAAGCAGGGAGTTGACTTGAAGGGTAGGTGGCTGGTTGAGGAAAATGGACAATGAGGCTGTGGAGATTCAAGTTCATGAAGTTTTGCTGAGGAAAGCATGTTGAGCAGAGGCAGTCCCTTGAGCTGAGCATGTGGTCCTTAAGAACCAAAGCTCTTTTTTTCTGTAATAGGTTTTGTTTTATTTTATTTTGAGATAAGGTTTCTCTATGTAGTCCTTGCTATCCTGGGACCTGCTCTGCGGACCAGTCTGGCCTTAAACTCACAGAGATCCACCTTTCTTTGCCTTCCCTAATGCTGGGATCAAAGGTGTGCATCCTCACACCTGGCAGAACCAAAGTGCTTAATGCTGTGGTCTGAAGACTCAGTTGCATCCTTTCTAAATTGTGCAAGGACGCTTGTGTTAAGATCCCACCACAAGTGGTACCTCTAATCCCAGAGCTTAGATGTTGGAGCCAGGAGGCTGAGGACGTCTAGGTTGTGGTGTTTGCTCAAGTGTTCGAATACTTGGTCTGCAGTCGGTGGAGCTGCTTGTGAGGGATTAGGGAACGTGGCCTTCATGTAGGAGCTGTGGCACTGAGGCAGGCTGTGACACTGTGAAAGACTTGCCCTGTTCAGTGTGCCCCTCTCTGTCTCATGGTTGTGGGTCAAGGTGTGAGCCATCAGCTGTTCCCTTGCTCTACAATCATGAGCTCTGACCCTCTAAAACCTGAAGCCAAGTTAAACGCTTTCTTCTGTAAGTTGCCATGGTGTTAGTGTTCTGTCACAGCAGCAGAAAATAACTAAGACTAAAGTCATCCATGGCTGTGTAGCAAGTTGGAGACTAGCCTGGGCCACATGAGGCTCCATCACAAAACAGAATAAAAACAAAAAAAAGATCACTGTGAGCACACACACACACACACACACACACACACACACACACACACACACAC